GGTTGATATGAACAAGTGAAACTGTAGTGAAATGGGTCGACTACTCATCTTACTAGTGAAATCTGAAGATTAGCATGAGTCAACTTTGACTACTTATATTGTTCAGTAGTTCATTTCATCATAAAGACAGAAGACAACAAGCGTTTGCAGTAGAAAGTAGGAAACTAAGGCCAGTACAACAATGTGAATCTGATTCTCCTACAAATTCGTTTTATTTTAAGTAACATCTGATCCTCAAAGATGCAATGAAGCCTCTAGATGCTCAGTCAACCTTATCCTTTTAATCTAATCACTCGCTTTTCTATAAAAATTCAAGTTTCGAATACGCTGAAGTGAAGTTTCCAACTTTCTGACATCTGCATCGTATATGTAGTATTGACTAAACTTAAACTGTTTCAGCAGTGAGAGCGACCTGAGTAGTTGGGTAAATTTTTAGTTGACCTATTCGTTACAAAGTTTTTCAGACTGTAATTGTTATATCGAAAGCTGTATCAAGCTGTAAACGAACCTGCTGTCCATTGGTTTTTGTGGATATATATTTTTTCGTCCTGACGCCAGTCTGCTTCTTTGCAGTGCTACAGCTCCATTTGATTTGCAGTTTTTATCCTGAGTTAAACTGTGGCTAATTTCAGTGTTTAACTTTGCAATGAACCTCTGTATGATCTCGTCCAGAACACTTAATGCATCAGTGATTCTTAGACGGACAAAATTTTACAAAGTGCAAACCAATACAATGCCAATATGCTGAAAGTGGTTTTGACTTACCTCTATTACTTTATGAATGATCAGTAGCTGTACACCGTTTCTAACTGTCTTTGTCAATATTCACTGAATGATTTGAGTTTTCAGGCATTACTGAGTCATGCTTCAAGCTCATTAGTCTCTGACACTCATTTGTAATTTCCTGTAGTGTCATGTTCAGGCGCTGTACCATCTCCGATAAGAAATGAGCACGTATGTCAGCATCTGCTGGAGATCTTAGGTTGCAGACGAAAAACGAGACATTCAAATTAGTATTCTGTGATGGATGAAAAATTACAACCCTACCACACTTTATGGACAATGCAGGGATGTTTGAACCTGTCATCACTTGAATCTTTTATAATTTTTAAACACCGACACGTAATCCGAAAGAGAGCTGGAACTCTGACTGTTCATCAAAGATAAAATCTTTGGGATGCTTTAGCAGCATAAAATTTGCTTAACAGTCATATTTTACGGTGCCCAGATTTCTTAAAAGAATGCCTACTTTCGCTGCATAAGAGGTTATTTCATATCGTAAAACAACCATGCTCAAAGCTTCGTTGGATGAAACAGGTACACGATATTCAACTATTGTAAACATCACTGAATCTTGTCTGTAACCAGAATCGGAACTGTGTGACAGTACTATCTGATCTAAATAATGAAAATACGCGTCAGCGGAAATGTTGACAAACACGACGCATCTCAGAGAAGAGTAATTTACAACGCTGTCAGATGTTTACCGAGGTTGGGGAAGGAATTCATGTTTCATCACCTATGATCCAATGGTATAAACAATTGTGGATGCGCATACTTGAGCAAAATCGAATCATGTCATTTTCTCCTGCGAGAAACTAATCTGGTCAATGTGTAAAAGACAGGCTGACGAAGTGGGTCACATCAATATGTGTATACCATTTTAGTTACCCCCTTGTAGCTGAGTACTCCACCGCACCATGCATAAGCTTGCAAAAAATTCTCGAGAACACTATGCAGCATAGCTAGCAAAGGGAGAAGGGAAATAAGCCTTCAACACAATGACAAAACACCTTGTGAATTCAAGTCACTCACGTGCTTGTGATAACTCTTTCAAAATCCTCTACAAAATGGGATCAAACCACTCAAAGGAAATGAGATCGTTGTATTCCGTTATATTGATGAAGGAAGTACTAACCATTCACAAGTTCAAAGTAACATTCTTCATCCAAAGAATCTACGTCCAACCTTTGTCTTTACAATCACCATCATAAACACTGTCGTACATTAAGCAATTGTTTCTATTTATTTTCTTAGCACCTTATTCATTTTGCTACTCTAAACTGTCATTGATAATGTGTAACATTTTTTCGTTATTCAATGTATTTTCATCCGTATCTGGAAATAATTCTTGAGTGTTCTACTCTCTGTGAAGTATCTTCATGAATGTCTAGCTTATTAAATGATTTTATATTGTAGGAAATTCTTTATTCGTTGCAACCATCTGTTTTGTCTTTTCCTACATTCTGGTCTCGTGATTTTCAGGATTTCAGTCTGTAAAACTATATATGGTCTAGGACTGTTCCAAAATATCTGAGATCTCTTTGTTTATTTTCAAGGTGAAGTGATTTTAGAAGTGCTGTTATTTCAAGCGGTTAACTGAGATTTTGAAGATTATTTCTAATACAATTGTACTGTTAAACGTTTAGGGTAGGAAAGATGATTTTAAAGAAAATAAGGCAAAAACCTTAATTTAGGATGAAATCAAATTGGAACACTAAATATTGTTTTGAAACCGATACAACCTGACTATATAAGTTTAGGCACTTGGTCAATTATCTTCAATCTACCTCTTCTAATGGTCATTTAAGGGTGATAGGAAATCAGAAGGTATGTTACAATGCCAAAATGTGTACAAGAAGTAATGGCTTAAATGTATGGATATATACATTACCATTGGCCTTTTGGATTTTCACCCGACTCTAGAAGAGCATTCTTGGTCAACTTTCCGTCTGTTGACCAATCTGTCATTAACGTGCATGATCATATGTATTTTCTCGAAACCCAGTGATATTTTCGTTGGTATTGGAGGACGTCTGAGAGCTTGGACTTCCTGGAAGGATCTGAAAATCATAGTGAATACTGTCACACCTCTTTACGGAAGAATAGGTGAATGGAATAATGATACCTTTCGATAATATGATACTGGATTAGTGCAGAACTTGAAATTCTTTTTTTCACAAAGGAAACTAAGGAATCTTATGAGTGACATAATAACACAATGCTGACAGTATTGTAGATAAAACTGCGGGATGGAAAGAATGTTCATAGGATCATACGCCTTTTATATGGTCATATTGATTTCATTGACTAAATGACCAACACCTTATCTCTACCGTGTTACCCAACGAGATAAAACGATGAAAGGGCTTGACACTTCTTTAACTGCACAAATAAACTATTTTTTTATTTGAAATTTTCATGGTTCGGTTAGGTTGTGCCCAACGTAGACTTGTATTCCCAGAAAACGCGTCTAGAATAATGTCGGTTATTGATTTTTGCCACTTAATAAACAAGAAATTTTACCCTAAATAGCTTAGCCACTTAAAAGTAGTGCAATAAACAGTGGGATTTTTATTCCTCTTGTTGACATCCATGTCCTGCATTCATACATTTCATTATTGATGCTTGCGATCGTAGTAAGTACTCATCGTCTTTCTTCTCATGAAACTGTTATCTCATGAGTGGGATCTTCACATCCAACAAAAACTTTTAGTGAGGTGCAGTGTATACAGAAAAGTAGAAAATGTCTCTGTTTTGTGACAGGTAACCAGTTTTTACCACTAGATAACTTTAGTTCACCAGGTTGGTTGATGAGTTTTTCCAATGTGATAAAGAAGACATCTAGAAATTCATACACATCTAAGCTCCTATGGATGACATACACATAATAATGGTTATAGTGAGTCACTCCCTTGTTTATCTTTCGTATGAACTTCTCATTGGCCAAGATGAAATCTTCTACTTATCGTAGTAGGCTTCGAAAAATGAAGTTATCCCTCTATATAAATACTTATTATCCTGTTGTAAATCTGACAGAAGAGCCTGATATTTCCGGCTTTATTCACCAACGGTAGGCTTATGCAAAGTGGCCAACAAAATTTAGACAAAGTTAAGAATACAGTGGCTGCATTTTTCTGCCGTCCACTCAGTAATAGTAAGAGTAAATAAAATCATAATAATAATAAAAACTTTATCTTCAATCTACACTGACTTCTCATAACCAAAGTTGTTGTTATGCAGTGTAACAATATCCCCTTGATTCGTCAAAGAAGCTCAAAATTGTCTACCAAGCCTTCACAGCAAATATAACATGATGAACGTTCCCGACAAACCACGTGATCGTATATGTGTGTAAAAGATTGGCTGAAAGACTTTCTAGAAAAGTGCAGAACTTACTCAAGCTCTCAGAAAATATGCATAAACAGTCCCTTTTTTACATGTTCGACTTTAAATCCTTTTTAGACGAATAGGGATTTTTAATATAGAGATAGTATTCATCACGGACAGATATCGGTTGGGGAGCCACTGAAATCTGGGTGCGTACTGCTGAGGAGTCCCATTTTAGGATGAAAAAGTTGTCCAATGACCCCAGATTTCAATGGTTCCCCAACTGATGTCAGTCCGTGATGGATAATACCTGTAAATTAAAAATCTCCATTCTTCTAAAAATACATTGCTCTATAATGACATGCTTCTAGATGGATATCACAAAGTTCTAAAGAGAAGCCCTGACCTGTGCGTTCAACCAGTTGTTAAGGTAGTATATGCCAACTAAAAGACCTTAGGTGATAGTCACGCTAGGAAAGCGAATTAACAGAAGTTGGAAACTGTAAACTACTGAAAACCTACCCAGTGATTGAATGGTTAACGTGTTTGACGTTAAGGCTAAAGGTCCTGAGTTCAGTCCCTAGCTGGGTCATACGTGCTTACTGCTGAAAAGTCCTATACTAGGACGAAACAGCTGTTTAGTGTTCCCAGACTTCCAGTGATTACCCAACTGATGTCAGTCTGTGACAAATGCTACCTCTAAATTAAACCTTTTATAGATTTCATCGCTTCTTTTCGATGAACTATGAAACCTTCAAGGTTGAAGCCTAAGGTCATTGTTCAAGAGTCAATCTACATTTATGTGTGTATACCACAAATACATCTCACTTGTTTCATTCAAAATATTTGAGTGATAATTTGAATCAATGAAATCTCAAAACTAAAGCAACTACGATTCAAAATCATATATTATTTTCACAATACAGAAAAAAAGAACTAACAAACATATTGTATATTAATTCAAATTTACTCAAAGGTTAGAAGAAAAAAAATAATGCTCAGGAGATAATTTTTTTCGTAGATTAGTTAGTTAGTGATTGTTTTGTCTAAATTATTGATTATATATTGTCAATTTAGTCAATTATTCATGTGAATTATCAATTTGTCTATCAGCTGGAGATGTAGTCAAACTTGTTTATTGTGCACAACACAATGATTACTGAATAGATAATAACAGTGAAGTGAATAAAAACGTCGAAAGCAAACACATACACTCAGTCAAATTGATATGAGTACTTTCACACTCTTATGTATATAGACACATGCATACGCACACTCATACACACACACACACACAATGGTATATGATTACTTCTTCTCAACGAAATGATCAAAAACCAGAGAACATATAACTACAGTTAAAAGTATGACTGGGTGTATAGGTAATATCTATGCATTATAATTTCATAAAACTCTACTATTGATAACAACTACTATACTACTAAAATACTAGTGAATATTAGTAGTTTGAGAAATGAATTCAATTTTTTTTTGTCATTTCTTAAAATCAAAAGCAATGCTCCTTGAAGTTGTACAAAAATCACGTTTTCTAAAGAGAAAGCACAAATCTTGAGGAGATTGGGGTAGGGGATGAGAATCAAACAAATAAAGAAAAACAGAAAAGAAAGAAGAAAAAAAACACATTACCAATGCATAAAATAATTTCTATTGGACTTTACCTAAAATGAATTCAAACTTTTATATTGGACATTGAACATGTTGAATAGAATCATATGATTACTATTGTGTAAATAGAACAAATTTAATGTTGATTACACTTGTTTCCTCATCGTCTTCTCTTCTTTATTCCTTGATATTTTCATCTACACATATGAGATAGAGGTACACAACCTTCCAAAAGAATAAAGCTCATATTTTGTTATGAATACTCTTTTCCAAAATGAAAATTACTTCAGGCTGTTCATTGATAATTCCTCCAACGTATGTAAAAAGTCTTTATTTTTATTATTAAGTAAATAAATTGAACAGAATGATAAAGTTAAACTGTATTAACTCTAAATACATACAGTTACATCCGTACATACAGAATGCATGTAATCAGGCTAACAACGCGTATAGACATTAGGTGTTGATAGTGTTCTAGATCATTCACAACATCAGGAAACTGATTGTTCGAAATAAGTTTTACTCATATGCTCGAGTTGATGAGTAAGGTAGATGGGTGTAGAGCGGGAAGGGGGGGGGAGGAAGAGAGAAAGAGACGCCAATTAAAGGAACAGTGAATAATCACTGTTATCTGATGTATACTAGTGGAATAATTGTCTAGTCAACAAATACTGGTAAGAAGGTTGGCTGAGGGACTGGAGACACGAGTAGCTCTGACAAAAAAAAAATACTCGTAAGTATAAAGTTGCATTTCTGACTCTAAAATAATTTTTTATGACTTTTTTTTTTCCTTTTTGGAATAAAGATGAAGCAAAGTTGGTAACTTTGTAAAAATATTATATTTTGCAATACTATTAATAATTTCTCTGTTTTACTTATTTCTCTCTTTCTACGATATTTATTTCAAACAGCCTAGTTAAAGTATGTGCTTGACGGTTTGTATACAAACATATAAAAAACAGACATACCTTCGCACGCCTACGCAAATATATGCGCGTGCAGATACGCGCGCACCCACCCACACACACACACAAATGTGCACCAAAAAATAATGTATCTGTCTGTAAGTGATCTTGGATAATGAAATGTGTTTTTGACTCAAATTTTAAAAAAATTTATGAAATGTTTGTATAGATGATTAGTAAACCATTTTTTTCTAAAAGAAATCTTTCTCCTTATTTTTCCCCATTTGTCAACATAGGGGATTTTAAACTTTTCATCTGGTATATTCACATTGATTGATAAATATTTGATATCAGTGGGCTTGCCGTCCAACTGGCAGTAGGTTGTAACACTAAGATAAAAAAGTAAAAACCAAAGACAAAAAAAATAACTTTAAACATTTGATCCCTTTTAAAAATCTAGATGAAATTTATCTCAATAATATCTTCATACATTTACTTGACAAGTCAATTTGTATAAGAACCAAAGAAGAATGTGAAGACAACAAGAATATTCTAAGATGGTATTCATCATGAACTGATAACAGTTGAAGGACACATTGAAAACCTGGGAGCAATGAAAGGGTGTTTCGTCCTAGTATGTGACTCATCAGAAATGCGCTCCCATGACCCGGCCTCACCGGTGATCGAACCTCCAACTGATGTCAGTCCATGATGAAAACTAACTTAAAATCAATAAATCCCCAAAACGGGAAGATAATTGTGGACTAAAATTAAGAAAGATGAGAAAAGTGACATAATTGATGCTGCTAAAATCTCTGTACGTGTAGTGTAAGAAGAAATAGATTTTGTACATACCATGACGGTTTCAGTTTGCGTATGGCTATCGCCTCCGCAAATCTCAGTATGCATCCCTGATAGCTTCCATATATAACTTAGAAAGCTGTTCGAACCTCAATTCTGTGATTTATTCCATTGTAGAAGTTAGGTAGCACCAAAGCCCATAGTTTGTAGGAAGAAAGGTGTCCATATCACTCTGACATACAGAGACGAGTTGAGACGTAGGCTAATATCAGCCATCAGGGAAACATACTACACAGAGAAGTTTGTCCTTGTGGGAAAGGCGAAACACATGCTTCACCATAAATCTAAACACTGGATAAGTAATTGGGTCATATCCGGCATACATCTGTATTTGGCCACACATACATAGAGAGGAATAATCAAGCCAGGTAGCTGAGGTTGTGGAAACATGTACCTAAATGGCTTCAAAAACAGATAGAGTGTGAAACGTTGATAAGTACGGGTGGGAGAAAACCCTTTTTATCTATATAACTAAACATGTTATAGAGATAGGTCACAAAACTACTGTCCAAACGGCTTTCAGAGCCTTATACTGAAACAGTCAGGACTGGGTACTAAGAGTTGCGGAGGCGATAGCCATACGCAAATTGAAACCATCTTTACGTGTACAGAAGCAGTTTGTTCCTACATTACACCCACCTTGATTAATTATATTTCCTTGCCAAGATTTTGATCAGTTATGTCACTACCCCCACTTTCTTCTCACCTGTTTTTATTTTTATTCCCCCACTATCTTTATTTTCTCTTCTTATCATCCTCACATTCTTCTTCAGTTATATATTAATTGACTTGGCAAGTAAATATGTGATCAGATTGTTGGAAATATATTGCATGAATACGTCACACTGTTCAGATAACCTTAATCCCCTAACTATGCTATTTCAAAGATATGAGGAAGGTTATATTACTAAGATAACTGCACCAAAGTTGAATTTTTTCATTTGTTCAATGAACAATAACCTTCAGATACTGTGACGACTTCGGTATATGACTCTGTCAACCGTTAATAGTAGGCAATTTTGCGATGATGATAGATACTTTCATGAGAGCAAACTGTAAGACATTCTTTATGGAAGCTTCATCATCTAATCGTCCATTTCACTCAAGTAACCCACAGATTGTTTCTAAGAGGTCGACCGACGTGGATATACTTACTCACCTGTAGACGAATTTAGGGCATTGCATGTGGTGTTTCACGTTGAGATTTAATTAACAAGAATCTGCACTTGACATTGGCTGCCGAATTTTCACTGTTTGTTAACAAGACAGTTTAGATTTGAATTGTTATTCACCACGACAGTGTTACGTCTGTTGCGTTGATGAAGCGAATGATAGTGACAGAATGTGAAGTACCTGGCAAATGGAACTTAGAACCTAGCACATGTGCATAGGCTCTAGTGGCCAGACTTCACAGTGGTACACAAAGAACTGGTGAATAGAAAATGAGTGATAACACAGTAGACAAAATTGTCTGACAGAATAAGCAACCTAAAGATAAAGGTTATTGTGAATATTGAAACTTTAGAAGATGTCAAGGAGTCAATACGTCTACCCCATTATGACTGATTTTCAGCCGTGTCAACAAGGAATCTAAACCATTGATTTCTTTCTTCTCGAGGACCCGAGCCATGCAGTCTACATAGCCCCAAACGACAGTAACAGTAAGAGATTTCGTGGATTGCGGTAATGTCTTGCTCTGGTTACCCAGAATTGTCTTCCAGTTTAATTCAACCTCTACTAACATAGCACATCGGCATGCGGAGTATTTGTCTCAGTCATCTCAGTCGATGAAGCTTCAAAACTTCATCAATCGACTTGCCTTTCTTGCCCAGTACCGTTTGCCTGACTTCGACACTGCTCACATAGTGATTCCACCAAACGCGAACAATGCTATGAGGACACCTATGACAGAAACCTTGCAACCGCCTCATGACCATAACTCCTACTTTCAACAGCCATTTTTCAAAGCCATACAACAGGACAGAACGAAGAACAGTTGGCAAATGTCAAATGGGCCTTCTGTATCCAGGTTGAGATTTCGTTAACAGCCAACCTCTTTGGGCTTATACAATTCTCCAAGTAAGTGAAGTTGTCGACACATTCCACCACTTCACTCCTTATAGATAACCTGAGAGTGGTTGTAGAATAGTCTTGAAGCGTCATTCTATACGAGTTCAGAATACCCTGCATTACGTCTTCATCGTCAATTAATAGGATAATATTGGTCTGGATACTCCAAGTCAATCACATGACCTTCAGGGAGTAGGCTAATTCCTGTGAAGACAAACATATGATTTCACTGCTAGCCACCACCAGCAAGTTATAAACTATTGGAAATCAGGTAATTGCACTATTACAATTTTCCCACTGAGATTAACACTAATTTTAAACTATTCAAGCAATAATCTTGTTTTGTGCATGAGTCATTTATCACTAAAATTTCCCATTCACTAACTCCATCATCCAACCTTATTTGAACGTATGTGTCTGTGTGAATGTCTATAAGACAGAGGATGACTCATCTATAATTAGATTTTGTTTATCAGTAATCAAATTTGCTGTCTGAGTAAGCTCATACGACTACATAATTACTGACATAAAAAGTATGTGAAAGTAAACAACCAATTTAGTCTTTGTAGTCGACAAATTGGAGAAACAATCCAAGTTATAAATATTGATTTATTAGTTGGCACGGCTGATGATCGATCAAACAATTTTTGTTTTCTTTTTTTAAATGTCAGCATTGTTTCTAGTTCATTTAAATGTCAAAAGTGACAAAAATAAACGATGGTAATAATAATAATAATAATAAGACGAGATAGATTATTGAATATTCAAAAATGACTCACTAGGACCAATCATTGTTGGTGTAACAGGAGTATGTATAAGCGCTTGAGATAGTGAATAACTGTCAATTGGTCTAGAAAAGGGTAGTAAGGCAGTAACAGCTGCCACAGCTGCTGCTGCAGCTGACTGTCCAGTTATAAAGCTATGTTGAACAGGATTATGAGTAGGTAACATTCCATTGGTTGGTTGTACTTTTTGTTGAGACATAAAATTTGTTAAATGTACATTTGGATTTGGAATTGGTAGTAAACCACGATTATTTTCATTATTTGACGATAAATTATTCTGTCCAATAGAATTACGTAGTAGAAAGTTTTGATTTTGTAATGTATTTGATGCCCATGCAGCACGTAATGCAAGCATAAGTGAATCAGAATTGTTCAATCGGTTTGTCATCTCCCATGATGTTAAATCTGTTGCTGGTCCCAGTACACCAGGATTTGATCGTAATCTTCCTGATGAAATTGAACCACGATTAGATAGATGATTTTCATTTGGCAGTAGGCAGTCAGATTGTTTACGTGTACGTGAATAACGTATATTCTCTTCATTCCCATTTATTATTCCACATGATGTTGTCGACTCCGGTGGTTCACTGTTACGCTTCAATGACCTCGCCTTTGTGCTAATAAGTAGGAAAACAATAAAGAAGATCATCTGAAGAAATGATCAACTAGCTGATAATTTGCATAATAGCAGCTAGTAGTGAAATCTGGGACGTGGATTTCGTCCTAACTGAACCTCGTCAGCTGGACAGGTTGTATATACCAAGAAGAGGTCACAAGTATCAATAAATGATATTTGGTGATTACTTTAAATAGTAATAGTTATGGTTTTCTTTCTATTTTTCCTCCATAGATGAATATTATTTAATAATCTTTGTATTTATCGATACAACAAAGAATCAAGCATTCAGTTTATCAAGGAAATCAAGTGTTATCAAGGACTCTAAATCGAGAAGGTTGTCTCTGAAGGCATATAACACTTCTGCAAGTTTCAAGGATATTTCAAATTGACAAGCCGATGAAAAGACCCTAGAAGATTTGGATTTTGACGAAGATGACTCAAGTCCAATGTCTAATGCCGCACAAACTCGAAGATATACAAGCAAAAACCAATGGAAGAGCCAGCGAAGATGGGACTTGATTTAGGTGAACGTAAAGAAGATAGAGGTAGTGAAGATACCCAACCAACCAACAACAACAACCAGTAACCATCACTGAGAGAAATCTAAAGGAAGTTGTCTGTTTCACCTACCTACCTCCGTAAGCAGCATCGTTTAAACTACAGGCGGGGGCACAGGCACACATGTGGATGTCAAAGCCAGGATCCGAAAGACAGCAAGACAGACCTTCCTTTTTATAAAGATCTGCTCCACTGCACTGCATTCCACTGCACTCAGCATAAAGCGTGAACAAAATCCACATCCGGATTGTCAACACTAACTCAGTCAAGTCACTGCCTCCATGTGATGGTTGAGAAACTTGGCACGTCATCAAAAGCATTTCCAACAAACTACATACATACATCATCAACAGTTGCCACCTACACTCACTTGATACTGAAGATCAGATATATGACGAGAAAGAATAAGTAACAAGGAACTGTGGCTGGCTGACTGACTGACTGACTGCCTGATTGACAACGAACCAGACAATAACCCATCACCCAACAAGTATGCAGAAGAGAGTTGAGATGGATTGTACTGGATTGGATGTAAGGTGAGAAGACGTTTTTGGGACATCACGTGTCGTGTCTGATCAGACCGTGGAGTGGAAGCCAAGTGGTAAGTGAAGAGTTGGTAGTGTGATGTTGACGTTGAGGAGATGGTGTGAGGCAGAAGTGAAGGGTTGTGGACAGTTGTGTAGTCAGGTTGAAAAGATTGATAATAATAGAGTGAAATGGCGACGTGATACTGAGCCCGAGTGACAAACAATAGTAACAACTATCACACCTGACTTGGATAGCATCAAACTCTCATTTTTCAAACTTTTCTCTGTATTTAAACAGTAAACATGATTGTCGCCGATAAAAGGCAACATTTTGCGGTGAAATCGATGCCTTCTTTGCATCGTTTAGGGTGATATGCCAGAGATCAGTGTTTTACTCTCTTCATCGATTACGTGAGCCCAGTACTTGTCGATCCAAGCGCTGTACTTCGTTTTATGGAGTTAATGATCTACAGTAATCATCGCCTAATCAGCAAATTTAAGTCGTTATTCGAAACTATTTATCTTTTTCGTTAGTGAGTTCTTAGTCTATTTTCACTCAACGTTGTACGTTTCTGATTGTATTTGCGCAATCTGTTCATGTGAACTAGAAAAGGAACCGAAGTAATTAGGACGTAAAGATAAGGAACTTTTCGGAATCTGCTTATTAGTGAGTAGATTTATAATGGGTGATGATTGAAGGTGAGATGAAAATTTATACCACGGTCGGATTCGAATCAGCGACCACCTAATTTCCAGCTCAATGCTCTACCAACTGAGTTACCAAATGGGCCTCGTAGCTCAGTTAGTAGAACACCGGGCCGGAAACCTTGTGGTCTCTGGTTCGAATCCGTCCATGGTCCAAATTTTCATCTCACCTTCAATCATTATCCAATATCAATAATGGTCTGCCAAACAGCAACTATCTTAGTCAAATGATAATTAGAAGTAGATTTACATAATCAATGTATGAAGCTTCTGACCTGTTTACATCGTCTTCCAAAGTCCTACAGAAGATGATGAATGCTGTGCTGTTGAAAGCCTACCCATCAATTGAAAGGGTTGTTTTAAATACATACAATCAACATTGGTTACTATATATGTGGATAACCTGTTATGTATTTTTTGAAGAATTGGAAAACAGTTTTTTTTCCAACAAAATAAGTGATTAAAGTATTTATTATTGTTAAGGTAGTATTCATCATAGACTGACATTACTTGAAGAACTGTTGAAAACCTGAGAGCGCTGAACAGCTATTCTGTCTTGGTATGGGACTCCATTGCATTACGCACCCGCAACCTAGTCGGTGATTGACCTCAGGAAACTCAGGTCTCACGGTGAACGTGTAAGTCATTTAGCCACTAAGTCGGAGTTCAGCGGTCCACATTTTCCTACTTCTGTCAATTCGTGACAAAATGTGACTATGCACTGTGGTCCTCAGTTAGCCTTTTCATTCACTTCTGAGTGATTGGCCCCACGGGTTACGGCCCCTCAGGAGAAATTTAAGATGCTACTTATCACAACTAAGCAATAATGCCATTTGAGATTGAAAAGGGTTTTATTTTTAAGCCAGTGTTCACTATGGGTACGCATAGTGGAGGAGTCCCGTACTAGAATGAAACAGCTGTCAAGTGCTCCCATGTTTTGAATGGTTCTTCGGTTAGTGTCAGTTAATGAAATGAAATCACGTTTAGACTCAAAATGCATTGAATATTACCTGAATTTATCTTATCCACAGATTTTTTCTAAAAATACTCAGTGTCACCATTATCCAGGGTTATATGGCGTACTTGTTCTGCTTAAGTTTGTCTCGTATTGTCATACACCTTTTTAGAACAAATTTAGGGTATTTATAAGATATAAATTTTAAGAAATTAAGAATTTATCCAGTTTATCTCTAGTCAGTGATCCGTTTAGAAGTATGACAGTTTGGTGGTTACAAGCAATGAGCGCATGTTTCAGTGAATTTGACGTTTACACTTCCTCTCTTCTTTTCAACCTTGTATGTATGCATATGTCCGTGAACCCTTGTGTGTGTGTGTGTGTTAAGAGAAGACAGTGGTGAAGTCGTTATGTTACATCCCATTGAGATCGTCACGGTTTATGAGCAAAATATAATCCGCGTACTATCTAAAATTGTTAATTTATTTTATGATGTCAAATTTCAAATATAACGTTTTTCTTGATGTAAAAAATTTGTATATAATGATGAAAATGGTTTAACTTTCTTTGAATATCCTTATTTTGACATTTATTCTATTTTCTTTAAAAAAACGTGATTGACCAATTTTGATTCATTGTAACAATAAATAGGAAACTGTAGACCATTGGATTCTGACAAAGTGGTTCAATAGTATCCTGGTTACACCGAACCTGTAGGTTTTAGATTCGATTTCTAAGGGAGAGCAAGGTTTACGAGTGTACACCTCAAAGGAGTCTTGTACTACAACGAATTAGTTGTCCAGTATTTCCGGGTTTTCAATGGTTTACCGAATAATATCAATCCAAGTTGAATACCAGCTTGTGTTCATGTACTGATAAGCTTGTATTACATACGTAAAGTATTTTTGATAGAATACAGACATATAAAAAAGAATTCACTGTAAGTATACTTTGTGCAAAGTTTAAATAATCGCAATCTACATTTGATAGATGCAAAACACCGATTGACTGATCAAGATGAAAGTTCATTAGACGTTAAAGGAGTCTTTAATGAAATTTGAGAGCATAACTATTGATTCTAGTGAATGATTGAAGGTGAAGTGAAAATTTAGGCCACTTCGGAATTTGAAACTAAATCAACACAATCCTGCCAAACCATGGCAAATGATGAGATAGTCAAAATGAAATTCACTGTGATACTTTCTCTTATTAATTCCAGTAAATTTGGATGAGAAGTTCTGACTGGGAAACGTCATAGATTCACATGGTAAACAGGCAAAATCCTTTGTGATTGAAGTGAAATGTAAACTTGACCAGTAGTCGGGTTGAGTTGGTAGAGTACTAGGCTGGAAACTTGCTAGTCGCTAGTTCAACCCCTACGGTGGCCCAAACCATCATCTCACCTTCAATCATCACTCAGTATCAATAAAAGTCTGCCAAACCATAGCTATCTTAGATAATCAAACTGATAATATAACTATTATTTCAGTGATTTCATTTTCTGACGCAAACACACACACACAATAAAATCGCTTACCTAATTTGATCGTCCGATGGTTTTTGTCTATCAGCTAGTTTAACCTCCAAAGGTCCTTTACCATTTTCCAGTGTGATTTGTGCATTACGTATACCATCGATTGCTCTTTGAGCATCCTCTGGTCGAATGAATCGAACAAACCCAGCACCTGATTCAATAAATTAAGTCAAAGTATTAAAAGTTTCAAACAAGGTGCTCATTTTAAATATTTCAACTGTTAGGTGGTGACAGAATGTAATGCAGTCTTTGAGAAGAAAACACTGTTTACCGGCATGTAATGAAACTGTTATACACCCCTAATTTTGGATAGCTTTCACCTGGTGTCTGGCCGATGACCTTTAAATTAGCCTACATGGCTGTTTTCTCACAGTTACTAGATTTTCTTCTCTCTGCTATCAAGGATAAACTCTCATTGGTTGTCAACTATTTCGCTTATATGTCAATTTAGTGTTGTCAAGGTCATTTGTGAATATATATATTCAATATTATTAACTGTATTGACTACTATTGAGACAGTATAAAGCCCTCTGTCAACGGTCTGTCTTCTCTTCCTATCTTTGCGGTTGGTGATATTGTTGTGGAACTGGTTGACGTTCTGATTTGCATTAGGGCAGATTCGTTTGTGCATTAGCTTCGCATCGTTCGTAGTCAGCTAGGCTCTTATCGCTTTTAGGGTGTTAGGTCATACTACCAGTCATACCATAAACCTAACAACATGCAAATATAAATGGAATGAAAACAACAGTTCTAGCAGAATGGTTTACGATCCGTTTTATTCAGAAGTATTTTAGCTGGTGTTTATATATATATATATATATATATATATATATATATATATATATATATAAGGTTTTTACACCAACAGTGCCTAGAATTAAGCATCCATCAAACCTGCCTTCAAAATCATTGAAAACTGTTGAAAAGAAGATGTTGGTTACTGAATGATTTGAACCAGTGACATTTTGCTTGGTATCCGAGTATTCTACCACTTTTTTCTACAAGACTTCACCATCGTTGCTTATTCCATTGCTACTGGTTCACCAAAACTATCACTAAATTTATGGATATAGCACATTAGCGGCTTCGAGTTAAACCACTCTGGAAACATTGGACACATAGATCAAACATCGGAAATCTACTTTCGGTTACTTGACTACATCGTCTTTTAATCGACCAGTCTGTTGATTTAGTGAATTTTTCCAGTTGTCTTTGAAGAAAGGAGATAAAATTGAGAACACCATTAGGTTAGTTTTATTTTACTCTCCTCAGTTATTTAGCATCAAGCAAAAACCTAATTGTTTGAAATGAAATAGTGTTTAAAAACACATTGTCTGAACTGTGAGAAATCCTGTTGAAAAATTAACTGAAATATTTTTTAAATTGAAATTCATCATGAACTGACATTATTTGGAGGAACATCGGAGACCTAGGAGCACTGAATGGCTGTTTCGTCCTGGTATGAAACTCATCAGTAGTGCGCACCCATGATTCTGCCTTGCCAGGGATCGAACCCAGGACATTCGGGTCCTAAGGCCAGCACGTTACCTTTGAGCTACTGCGTCGGAATCCAATGGTCCATATTTCCTACTTCTCAACGAAGTCGAACATGAGGACAGTTCCTCAACGACGACATTGGATGTATCACTACATCGTGAACTAACAGAAGTTGGAAATCTGAACCATTGGATCGTGACCCACTGGCTCAATAGTAATGTGGTGGCCACGGAACCTGAAATTCCTGGGTTCGGTCGCTGGCTAGGTGAAGTAATGGTTGCACACTCCTGAGGAGGTCCACACCAGGACGAAACAGCTGTACAGTGCTCCGGTGTTTCCAATGTCCCTTCAACTGATGTCAGTCCTTGATGAATTTCAAAGTAAAAAATCAATTAATAAATCCCAACAAAACCTCCAGATAGAATGAAATAAGATTTACCTGTACAAAAGTTATTCGATCTCTTAGTCATTACAATAGCAGTGGCAATTTGTCCATAAGGCTGAAAGATTTGCTTTAAATCTTCAACATTTGACGCTGTCCACGATTCAGGAATATTTGTTATATAGACATTTTGTGGATCTTTTTCAGATTCCTACAAAAACCATAACAAGCAAAAAACAATTATGAATCGTATTCGGTGAAAATCAAAAGAATTAAAAATTGTGATCATTATTCATATTGGTTTCTTTTCGATTTCCTTCTATTTAGTTCTTCAGTCTTTCAGTAGTCAAACAGTCAGGAAGAAGGAAGATTCTAAATGGAGGACTAATGATCATATGTAAGGCATTCATTTATGCATTTGTCGAGTAGATTTTTGTTATCGGTGCTGTCGTTAGATTTCTTATCATTGTTGTTGTATGACAGGCGAAGTACTGGAAGTTATGCAAAAAAGTAATCAGTGAAAAGAAAATCACAATCAGTAGTACTTTTTTTATTCATCTTATCAGTAATGAAAATTGATAATTGGTTTTACAGATATTTTAGGAAACAGTGAAATCCCCAAAGAGAAATAACGTGTACTAAATCCAATAGAATCTCTCTAACAACGGTTAAAGTTTTAACAGTTGTCTTTTGTTTTTACTGAATAGCCAAGGATATCGGCAATAACAATAGTAACAGTTTGGTCATAAGGTAGTATTTTATTAGCGTTACTTTAGATTCAAAGGCGGAATTCAGTTGATTCTGCTTTAACTTAGTGGAACAGGTATTAAGCCACTTTCTTTGTAAGGTCTTATTTACTGAAAACCACTATGAAAGATCTTAACCATCCTCCAGGATGAAGGTGTGCCATTTAAAGCGAAAACTGAAAGGTTAAGGCAACACTGGAGATTTAGATACACAAGTGGATCTAATCGACAAAACTTTCCCTTTTCTGTTACTCATCAAAATAAGAACTAATAACTTCATAATGAGACTTCTAAGAATATAATCAATCATGTCCTGTAAACAAGTTGGTTAGTCAACAAGCATCGTTAAATTTTGCCTAGTGAAATAAGGAACCTGAAATCTGGGATTTTTTTGAAATGACACGTTTTCTTCATCACACCTAACAGCTCATCCGGAAGGACGAATACTTTGAGGAAATTCTTCTCCAGACAGAGTTATTTATTCAGTCAGTTAATCTTCCAAAACTTTTGCATATTCTCCTATCATAGAATTCTGAGTAGTTTGAAGGCGAAATATCACCTGGTTTTGTCTCTGATGATTCAAAAAGATTGATACAATTATTACTTGAGGAATATCAAGGGATATTTTGATTTCCGATAAATGCAGTTCGTTATTCACTGTATCAACACCAAAGTCATCAAGTCGTGGGATAAATACGATCTGAATTAAAAGGTGTTTCTGCCGTCCATACGTGTGTGATGAATGCTGGTGATAAATACTCTTCATTGTGAGCTGGCATCAACTGAAATCTAGCAAGCATTGTATAAGTATTTCGTTCTTCCCGAACTATAAAAAATGTACAATAAAGAATGTAGATGCTATGTAGCTCAGGACCTTTAGGTTTTGCAGACAGTATATCACTAGTTACTCCTTATTGCATAACATCCGTTAAAAGAGTAGCCTTCAACTGTTCGACGGATGATCTCTGTTGTTATACTTGTACAAATTTTAGCATTTCGTACATTTTCAAAGGCGAAAAACGGAGTCTTCGAAAATAATTCTACCACAGTGGTGTCCATGCAATTGGATAATAGCCAGTTGATTGAAAATTCTAGTCACCGTTAAGTGGAATGTAAAGAAGCATTCAGATGTGGTATTTATTTCTTGTAAACGAAATTTCATTCGACCTTTCGATTATGAAGAAATTTATTAAGCCATTAGTCATCATCATCATTATCAACATAGGATCAGGCATTACTACGTAACACTCCCAGTTGCCACACCTCACATCAGTTCATCAAGTAGAAAGATAGTGAGGTGAAGGATGAAGATAAGAGAATGCAGTCAAAAGAAATATAAAGTACGAGAAGAAAGGAAAGAGGAGTGACAAAATAGTGAGATTCGGCTAGTGTTGTTAAGATGAGGATAATGTGTGTATACATCTGCGTCACTCACGTCGGTTCTGGGCCATATCATCTAGAGTCTCCAACCACTGGTTCCTCTTGTCCCGAGGACCCCAACCACCTAGTCTGCATCGTCCTACATGGCTTAAACCAACAGTCAGAGACTTCATACATTGGTGCCATGTTTGAGTCTAGCCACCTCGAGCCTTTTCCCAGCCTGGACCCACCTCAGCCAACATTGTGTGACGAGGCAATCGGTGACTAGGCATACATAGTACGTGTCCCAACCATCTCAGTCGATGAAGGTTCACAACCTCATCAACTGACTCACCTCTTCTCCCCAAAACTCTACACCTGACTTCTGCATTACTCACATGGTGACACCACGGAATACGTCCTATACTACGAAGGCAACGGTGGTCAAACACTGAAGCCTTCTCATATCTTCCACTTTGAATGGTCATGTTTCACAGCCATACAGTATAACAGAGCGGATTGCTGTGCAGTACACGCGACCCTTAATAGACAAACGGATATCACGGCGGCGCTATAGGTGGCGCAAATTGGCAAAAGCCAATCGAGACTTTTGTATCCGTGTAGAGATCTCATCGGCAACTAACCCACCGGGATTGATCCTACTTCCCAGGTAAGTGAAGTGGTCAACACACTCAACCACTTCACTCTCTACTGTTAGCCAAAAAAAACCATCAGTACTGATTAAACGAATTTTCTGAAACTATTAAAAATCATTCAGTCACATTGCAAAAGTCAGTCTGATGAACACTTCTGCTTTATCATTTGTTGAGACCTTATATTTCGGCAGATTGACAAAATCTCAAATGCCTGAAACTTTGCTGATACAACAACAAAACAAGGATTGATGCCAAAAATCATTCAAAAGGTATGATTGTAGGCATTTCGAATGGTAACAAAGCGGATCACTGCCAGAAAAAGCACTGTCACTGAATCAAACGATGCAGTAGGGTTAATAAATTAGAATAATCAACAAATATTGATCAAAATTTATACGGAACTAAGGCATGAACTGTAATGATATACAATACATGAAAACTCGTAGACAGATCATTATGTTTTCTCTTGTTCTCGAAAGCCTAGACGCACAAAAGCTTATTCTACTTTCTATCGTCTTTTCATTCCACTCGAAAGTATCTTAAATATTCTTTTCCTACCTATTTTCATCCTCTTTTTCTCTTCTGTTAATTTTGCTATTACATTACTTCAGGAACAGTGGTCAAGGGGATCACTTATAAACTAGTGGGTCACGCGACTGAACACCGATTCAATTATTGAGGTTTCGGCAGCTGGGTGATATCATTAGTCTTGATGCAATGTGTCAGTCACTTCTTTCTTCCCAAATATGAAGAAGGTTGTTGAGTCCTCTTCGATTTCAGGTATCTTTGATGCAAACCAATAAAAAGTTATTCCAGTTAGGGGCAAAAAAATTTAAGTGGATTAAGATTTTACTAAGGTTGATTGTCATTTAGTAAGGTAAATGTTTTCGTAATAATAATTTATAAGCAAATATCAATTCGAATAGCATAAATAGAGAAGTGAAGGAGGAACACATATAGACTAACAAATTGAAAACAATAAAACAAACTGGATAAATGAATAGGAATCAATGTAGTTAAAATTGATCAGATTGATGATAATCATTTCTATCAGGGTACAACTCCTTTTTGCCACTTCGTTCTTTCTTCCACTTCTTGGGATTAACCAAAATTTTGTATTTTATTATGTCATATCTTTACGTCTTCTTAAAATTTGGATGGTACAGACAGTTTAGGCGTAGTTATTTTCTAGACTTTAAGAAGAGCGATCCTTAGACGTTGTTTAATTATGCGTATTTACAACACGGGATACTCTTGTTTTCACTTTTTATGAAGTTACTAGACAGAATGGGGGTGTTTTTTTAACCTAGTAGATTGCTAATGCTAAAGGTGACTCATTTTAGATAATGCTACTTTTAGACTATTCACTAAGTGACAGGCAGGTATTTATACTATGGCGGCAACAGAATAATCGAGCAAAAGAAGTACAATCATTCATCTGTGAATGTCATTTAGTTTCTGTTACTATCTTATATACATATTTATCGATAAATAACTTTTGATTTCCTCAGTTTTACAATGCATATATAGAATAGTTAGTTATAAAAGAGGTTATTTTTTGTATAAGTACTGGTTTCAGTCAGTTTTTAATCATATTATTTAAGAGATACTAATTAAAAGTATGTGGTGTATTGTTTCAAGTGGGAATAAAAGCGAACAATGCAGACTAGAATAACATCTATGTTTGACTAATCGATTGTTAATCTCTAAAATGATAAATGTCTAACATCTTGTTAAGCTGATGTAGACTGATTCATGGTACAGTCCGACTGAAGTACAAACCAATGGCATCAGTCTATAAAGCATCATTTTAACACTGATCTGACAAACGGTAAGTGATTTCCATGCAATCATTTCGTTACATAATTAAGCAACACAAAATAAAACTCATATTTAAAATGAAAAATCTAGTGATAAACTACGTTAATTCAGTATGAGTTCGCATGAACGCAACTCATATGGACGACATTTACACCTTATGGGCTTATATATCTCTCAACTTCTGTCACAGTGAGCATTAAATTGCTGAAGTAAACGCCACTTTATTTCATTCAAAAAACTGAAGTAACTGATCATTTAAAACGTCTCCTTGAGGAGTCTTAGGTCAGTGTATTTCACAAGGAAATCTTTATAATTCTAATTAAGAATTGAATGGCACTTAAAAGCAATTTCATTTTCCACAAGGGAAATCAATGGTTTTACTTCTAGGTAAACAATATATATATATATATATATATATATATATATATATATATATATATATATATATATATACAGGGTAAGAATTAACTTACGTAAGCGAAATTGACATACAAGTCACGATTTCCTGACTTAATATGCACCAAAGCAGATTTAGCGGCTTCATTATTCACAAAGTCTATGAAACCGTACACTAAAAAGTGATAAGAGCAATTCAATAATTTTATTGAATTAAAATACTGATATATTAAATTATATCATTATGTCCATTTTGACGATAAGCATTAAACATTGAATTTTAGCGGGAAATAATTTTTACGCAGCTAAAAAATGTGTATATGATCGAGTTGAACTGGTTTGTTGATGGGCCCAAGTATATGTTAATATGTGATCTAAATTCAACATAGAGGTTTCATGGTTTTGAAGATCTATTGGATTAAAGATAAACTATTTCAAATTTTCATTAATTGAAAGTAAATTTTATCATTTCGAACTACTAATCCTTACAACATCAGAAAGAAGGAAATACGTAGGAGAAGACGAATATTTATGTAGAGAAAAGTATATGGGTGAGGAGAGCTGAATAAATGAAAATTACTGAAATTGCTTGAAGTTTTCGAAATAATAAACAGTGTAGTACCTATGTCACTGTGACCACCTTTGAACTGTGTCACGGAAAGTCTTCAACCAGTGACATCTATAATATTGAGGATCCCAAGGAGACAGTTTACATATTCGTTCAAGGCTCAGACCAGTAGTCAAAGACTTCATAAGCTTACACCGCATCATAATCTGATGACTTTTAGCTTTATTTCAAGCCAGTCATACTTTGGCAAATATGGCACGTTAACTCAGGCATGGATCGACAATGCAGCTAACTTATTTGATAAATATTAATGACCATATTCACTGACTTGTCTTTTTAATTACGATTCCGCACACAATGCCGCTTGTAATCATACAGCCAGTCCACCAGATATGAGTAATGCTATGAAGTCGTCTATAGCCAAAACATTATAGACTTTTCATGTGTTCTACTTTGAATGGTCATATTTTTCTGCAACATAGTACTACAGAGAGGATTGCTGGGTAGGATAATTATTTTTAGTAGGCAATTAGATATTCTGCCAGTGCGAAATATGATGTTGGTTGGCGAATGCCAAAGATGGATCCTTGGAGGACATCACAAAACGTCGTTATGTGAAACGACAACTGCACCTTCATATGAAAGAGTAAGGAAAATACTATACTAGTGATTTTGCTTATGTTCTAAAACCTATCGAAAAGCGAAGACAGGATTGTTGCATGTCCTTGCTTTTTTGAAGTCTGCTTAGTTTTTTGACTTTGTTGCTATACAGCTTCAGTTATGCATTGGATAACTACCAATCGTAGGGTTTTAGGCATGGTGTCAGTCAAAATGATTATTCTATGGTCATCATAGGAAGACTTCGTTGTCGCTTGTAAACTGGAACGATCATTGGTTGAGGTCACTGTGATGGGATTCATTTCGATTCCTAGACACTAGTTAGTACCTTAGTTGTTCTCATCAGTAATTGATTACTGAATGAATAATTATTTGATCTTGATGCTTGTGGTGACTTACGTTCGCAGTAGCGTGATTATTGGGAAATCTACATAAAAATTTCGTGGTGTTTTATGGAATGACATCGAATCGAATCTTATTTGAGTATACAGTGCATATAATTGAACACGGTTCAACCTTTCTTAAAATCTTTTTAGGACGTAAGTTCAGTCTAGCAACTACTGAAGAAACAAATATGTTTCTTTGTTGCTTTCAACAACCACCTTTCTAAATGAAATCGAGAAGCTTAAATCGCTATTTCAGTGGGTGCTAAAGTGAACTTTAAAGTCACTGAAGCTCAAGTGGTATTACGAAGTAAGTTATGGAACTGGATGTGGACAACAGAGTCTTTTATAGGAAAAAGTTATAATAGCATCATCCGTTCTCCAGTATCATCAATGTCTCAGTTAATACTGTGATACTGGGTGGTGATTGAAGGTAGGGTTCCAACCAACGACCATCCAGTTTTCGGTCTGGCACTCTACGAAAGGAGGTACGAACAGCGAGTCGCAAACCCAGTGGTCCCTGGTTCTAATACCACCGTACTTTAGATTTTCATTTCATGTTCAACAGTCAGCTAGTTTCTATGAAAAGTTTGTTTTTAAACTCTTTTTCAGTATGTTCCCAAGTATTTAACACTGGACTTGAGATTGATAAACCTTATAATGGTCAACAGAATGTTCTGTTTTGTTCTTCCTTAGAATATTTAGCAAAACACTGTTCTTGTTCAGTTGAAGCACAGCAATTTTTATTCAAGTTCATTTGTATAAATCATTTTCCGATTGAATTGTGACTTAATTAAGTCGTAGTCACATTTATTTTCAAGGCTGTGATTATTTAACCATGAAAGAGGTTTAATAAGGGGTTTTAATTGACAAAGCTGCACATTTACTAAGGTAGCCTAACAAAAATTCAAAAATTACTTTTTTTCGAATTATCTAACAGTTTTAGAAACCTGAGTAAAAACAGTTTTACCATGGAAAATAAGAAATCTCACCTTTTTTCATATACTGGGAGTAGATGGATAAATTTACTTGGTTATGGCTAGCAGAAGAATCCAGGACACGCGATTCATCCGATTCGGAACCTGTCAGCTAGATTTACCTACATCTCAGTTGGTGATGTTGTTCCTAAAGAGACGGAATGCATATCCTGAACTCCCCCACTACCCACAGCCAAGTACATTACCATAATAGATATTCGAGCAAAATCAAGTCATCCATATGATTACCATATACCAATGGAGGTCGAAGAATTTATACCAGTATAACAACAGAGATTGACAGGTATATCAACAAGTAGACTGATAAATGTTGAAAACTGAGAAGCACTTGATGTCTGCTTTATCACGGGTTAAGACTAGTTACCAAGATATATATATATATATATATATATATATATATATATAACTTATATGTTTCAAACAGCAGTTCAAAACCAGGTTGGAACAAGTATTTAGTGCTCTTCAGCTCTCGATAATACTGTATATCATATTCATATTCTTCATCCGATCACAAAACTTCCGTTGATACTTTCATTTCTGTTGCAGATCCTATTCCGATGGACACCAGTTCCTTATCTAAGATAACACCTCACATAATTTTTAAGTTAGTCATAGGTGATGAAAATGACTGAAAACTTGTCTCAATTGTTCACTTGAAAAACAAGGAAAATGAAGCATAAACAAGACGTACTGCTGAGCAGCTCGATTACTTTGCCCCCTTCAGGTAGGCTGAGTAGATTTCATGAATTAGACCACACTAATCTAAAAAATGATGGGCCGCTTCTAAGATTCTGAATTTTTGGCAGATTGAGTAATATTTTTAACGACCCATGAATGGTGAAATATTGATATTGTGAGGAGAACAGTGTCATTTTAGGGAACAAATCCCATCTTGTTAAGAATAAATTATCATTTTGACTATATGAGTTGGCTGAAACTTGGCAGACTACTAATGACAACTGGGTGGTGATTGAAGATGAAATGAAAATTTATACCGTGGCCGGATTCGAACAAGCGACTACCCGGTTTCTGACTCAATGCTCTATTAACTGGGCTAGGCATGTAAAATAAAAATCTATAAAACTGTAGGACCTCGTAAGTCACTTAGTAGAACATCAGGCTGGAAACCCGATGATCAGTAGTTCGGATCAGGCCACGGTCCAAATATTCACTTCACCTTCAATCATAACCCAGTATCAATACTAGTCTGACAAATTACGGCTATCCCAGAAAGTCAAATCATAATCAATATGATGCTCCCCCTCTCTTATTTAGGTAGATTTGAAGTAGGATGAGAAGTTCTGACTGGATAGCCAATGTGAGTACGATCAGGTTTTAGTAACCCGTCATGAATTCACATGGTAGTCAGGGAAAACCCCTGGTGATTGAAATGAAACGAAAATGTGATTAGCAGTCAGTTGTCACAGCTGAATTGGTGGAACACCAAGCCAAAACTCATTAGTTACTAGTTCGACTGTTAACGCCTAAATTTTCATCTCTTCTTCCATCATCATCAGTATCAAAAATAAATTAGCAGATTCAACCTTCATATTAGATGGTTTGTTTGACCTAGCACACAGTTATATTTACTAGATGAAATATCAAGCAGAATTTATTCCTTATATTCATAACAAAGTAATCATATGACTTTCAAACTTCTTTTAAGTAGTCAACAGTTCTTCATTCCTGCAGTTTTAAGGTAGGGGAATTCTCTAAGTAATTACACTATCGGGTGAGGTATTTCTGTCATATCTGCTACATGCTGATTAAATGAAAGAGATTCTGTAGTCAATCTCTCTTCAACTAGTTATTTTGGATTCTAGATCTATTACCCTACCTTATCCCATAAGAAGATAATGGATCATTACATGCAGAACAACAAACAAGTTTTGTTTTAAGCTACGTATAAGGGTGTTTCGTCCTATTTTTCTATAAGCTTTTGTTACGCCATGTCCTAAATGACCTCAGTTGGCTATTTCAACCTGTTTGCTTTACCTCACAATCGTAATTTGGTATTACGCAGATGAAGTTATCATACTTAATTGGCTCTACTGGATCTCTTAGCCTTCAAAGTTTCTCTGTGAATGAATTCGTGTGTTTAAATGCAACCATAACACCAGTCTTCTTAAGAACTCTAAGTAGACTTTATGGAGTAACGTTACAGAGGATTTGAATTCCTCCTTAGGGATACTGAAGTTATTACTAACATTATCACTTATCCTTTTCTTAACTGTTGGAATACAAAAATGAAGTTTCAGAGTTGTATGCTTACTCTGATATTATAGAGAGTAATAACTTCTGCTCTAGACGTCATCCAGTAAATAATACTGTTTCACTGAGTCCTGTATCAAATGAACAATCTAATATGGAATTATACTCTACCACAATGTCCAAGGTTTAAGCATATATTAAATGATTTTTTTCTTTTTCAATGATCAATTTACACGTAAACATGTTTTGTCCCAAAATAATAAATCAAAGCTTTTTTTCAATACATTTCTTCCTTACTTTCCCCTTCAGCTCCAGCGATTAGTTTCACAGAACGTATCAATTTACGATCTGGTGCCAAAGTGTGTAGTTCTTCTTCTGTGAATGAAGCTGGTAGACCACGAATGTATAAATTCGTTTTAGATGCATGCTGTAACGTGAAAGAAATTGAATAAAGTAATAAGTTCAGTGTATTGTTGTATTAATTAATATTTAACGAAATCATAAATTCAAGACTTCAACAAATGAATGAAGGTACTCTTTAATGTAAGTGTAAAACTTGGGCACTGTGGTCGATTGCAATCCCATTTTAGTGTGTTTATTAGAAACATCACACAGTGAAGCAGTAGCATTTACTGGATAACGTTTCGTACATAATTTATTGTCCATATTCATGTGAGGTAATTCCACAACTTCGAGACGGTCTTTATATATTCCTAATTTTCTCTCTTTCTCTGTGATGACAAGGGTAGTATAATTTTCCATATATCTGGGACAGGTGCAGCATCATTTCGATTGCATATGTTTGGTGTTGATTCGATAAACAAAGATGATTGCGAAGTCAAGTACATAGGTCAAAGCAGTCGACCAGGGTCGATTAGAATAACAGAGCACAAAAACTTAGCTAAATCAAGATCAGTAAATCCTAATAAGATAAGAAATCTAGAGAAAAGCTCTGCTATAGCTCTGCATACGATAACACACAATCACACATTAGGGTGGGATAGGGTGACAGTTTTGAAAACTAACTTAGTTGGGTGGAGGGAGAGATTGATCACCGAATCTTTGTTTATCGAATCAACACCAAACACATGCAATCGAAATGATGCTGCACCTGTCCCAGATATATAGAAAATTCTACTACCCTTGTCATCACAGAGAAGGAGAGAAAATTAGGAATATATAAAATTTGTCTCGAAGTTGTGGAGTTACCTGATATGAATGTGGACAATAAATTATGTACGAAACGTTATCCAGTAAATGCTACTGTTTCACTGTGTGATATTTCTAATAAACATACTAAAATGGAAGGTATTCTTTGTGTTGAAATATAAGAAACTGTAGGTCTCATGTTAGTTACAGGTGTATAAATTCAAGGATAGATATTCACAAAACTCAAAGAATAGATATGTAGATAGAATAAAGTATACTACATTCAACGATGCTTAATTGTTGTACAAGTCTACTCATGGATAAGGTGTTGAATAAACTTCTCTTCAGGCAAGGCCTTTTTTTATAAATTATTTCAAAAAAATATAAGACTGATGTCATGATTTGGTGAGAAAATAAGAGGATAATTAGCTAAAGTTTTAGATTCTATGGGGGTCTTATTTCAAGGTAGCTATCATAAGCTACTGTCATCAGCTGGAGGAGCCGTTAAAAAAACCTGAAACCACTGGACAGTTGTTTCTTCATTGGCAGTTAGCATCTACAACCTTGCCGAGGATAGGACATAGGATGAACGGTCGCGGCAAACTCATTGATTATTCAGCCACTGAGCTAGAGTTCGATGGCTCATAGTTTCCTGCTTCTGTCAACTAGCGACACAGTAAGAAGTACTTCAGTTGGTTCTGCAGCTAGATGTGAAGGTCATGAGTCTGATAACTGGCGGGTTTATCAGTGTGTACTGCCGATAAGTCTCTTGCCAGGACGAAACAACCATCAAGTGCTCCCAGGTTTTAACTAGTTATTCGAATGATGTCGGTCACTGATGAATATATCTTCAAAATAGCTAAATGGTTCCAACTACAGAAACAGGCTAGTTAGTTATATGCATAACTAATCTGTTTGAAATGGTCAACACTACCGTACTAGATATTTGCAGTAGTTAAGCATGGTGTTTATAGTAGTAATAGTAGTAGCATGAGTACTAGTAATAACACTAAAAAAGTATGAAGAATACATCATTATCTTTAGATCTACAAGAACTTATTTCTTCAAATTATCATTTCATAATTTTGACTACTCAACAAAACCTCTGAAGTGACTGAATTGTCTGAAAATGTATGTAACACTACCATTAGAATCAAATGTCTGCAAGGAATCAGTTGTTCTTTCTCTAGATTATTGTTTACATTCTTTTACTGAACTTCTTCTACATTTTGTTATCTAGTTAACTAATGCACAGAAAGGTTACGCTGATACATGCATTTTGAACAACGTTTATCAGATAGATATAGCCTGATAGCTATGGAAAACTTGTATTCTCTTTGTAACTAGACAAAAATAAAATTTATACATGTTTGCGCTTTTACTGGTGGGTTAATTTTTAACAAAAAGATAGGTAGTACTGAGCATTTGGATGGACTTTTCATAGAATATTTTAGAACTGGACTTTAACACATACTATGGTTCTTTTTTAATTGTATTGTGACTGTTTCGCCTTCCTTATTAAACACTAAACGTTTTATCAAGCATAGCGAACAACCATTGTTGAACACCATTAAAAGGTGTTAAGTTCATACGACTCATTCAAAAGGTTCACGTGTGAGAAAAGATTGACTATTTTTGTCCTGTAAGTCAACAACAACTATTAAAAATATGTTTGCTTTGTGTCATATGTTTGTATGGTCAATAAGTGAGTTTTTCCACATTTCTTTAGTTTAAACGATTCAATCAGCTGTAGAAAATAAGTTAGTATTATGACTTTTTATTCCCTTAGTTGATTGGTTATATCTAGCAGAAGAGTCTTAAAAAGGACGAAAGACGCATGTTAGATTCCAGTACTAGGCATTACTCATCCCCCCCCCAATATCAAAACTAAGTCAAGGATAATAAAAGGGCAGTTCTCATTTAAAAAACCAAATCATTTAGAATGCTAGTCAGTTTTGATTTCCAGGAATATATATTCGAAACGTACTATCTTAACCAGTGAGTAACACAAAGCTGATACATTGCAGTCTTCCTGTGTTTAAAGGTGGCTTCAGAAATCAAACTAAAGTATTTCGTAACATGGAAGTTGTATGGAGTATGTCATGGAGTACCCCCCCCCCTGTTAAATAATTAGGAATTTATGATACCAATTTCGAAAATCTCACACAGATATATAAAATACTCACTAAAAACTGAAAACTGATTAATCAGACAGAAAATGTTGTAGGAATTTATTCAGTGACAACTGAATAATGTCGGTGAACTTTACGTAATCTGTATGAAATGACCTACCTTCTTCTGACGGCTTGTAGAATTTTGACTATTTATCGCAGCATTATCGTCATCTAAAAAACTGGACATCAAACCTCTACTAGTATACTTTGAATGATTGTTATTGGAATTCGATAATTTCCCAGAACCTGCTCCTGAACGTGATGATTTCGCATTACCTAGTAAACTAGGCAGATCATTTGTAAAACGACGTAGTTTAAATTGCTCAGTAGAACGGTTCATTACTGAAGGAATTGTAGATTGACTATTCTTTTGTTTAGATAAATTTTGATTACCACCATTCTCCTCTGAATTAGATGTAGAACTAAGAGTCTGGTTGGGGAAAACATTTGATAATAATGGTTGAATTATTCCCATTGCAGGCAAAGAGAATTGGCATGAAGGATGTATAATGATACCTTGATTTGGAGGTATTACTAATGGGTTAGATGAAGAGTTCTGAAGCTGTTGACTGCCCATCTGATTGTCTACAGTGATTTGACCTGGCAGCCATTGATGGAATCCACTTAGAAATGATGGTTGCATAGGTACTGAGTATCCTGATATAAGTTCACGACAGTGATTAGTGTCTGCTTGTTTAAGCATTGCACTGTAATCTATACCTGAATATAACTGATCTGGAAGTTCATAGTTTGAAACACAACCATTGGTTCGAAGTGGTGTAGAACTGTTGCCATTACTGCTGCCGTTATTATTATGATTGGTACTTCCATTAGCTTGTGAAGTAACTAGCGTCGATGGGTTATTATATGCCGTCTCATTTGATGTACCTGGTGCTCCAAGGCGACCAACAGCCGTAGGAAAAATCAAGGCATTGCTTGGAAGGGCAAATAACTGCCCTTCATTGTTATAGAAATATATGAATGTTGTAGGAGCTGTTAAATATGAATCTGGATTCGGAATGCAATTGTTTACCACCCCTTTTGTATTCGTTGCAGCTGTTGTTGTCATTCCCGAGGATGATGATGAAGCTGTTCCATTTCTATCAATACTCATAATTTCATCAATTGGTATTTGTGGGATGTCAGTTTGCATAGGACTAGTTATTACTGAAATTGGGTAGCCTAGAGAATTAGCCATATTCACAACCATCATTTCTAAGTTTGATTCTGTAGGTCCATATTTATTAGGGCCTAATTTATCTGAATTGTGGTCTACTGTTATTAAATATTCGGCATTAGATTGACATTTACTGATTTTAATGTCATTATTATTGTGAGTATATCCTTTATAAATAGGTGTATTGGAAGGATTTTCCTTATTCCCCTTCGATGGTATATCCGTGAGGATCAAATCTTTTGCTGAACTTGGACGATTTTCAAAATGACTACGATTTACCACATCATCTGGTATTAGAGAATTCAGCTTAGTCATCGATCGAGATATTGGATTAGATGACGTTTTGCTTAGGTTACTAGTAACAGACTGAGTATTTGAGTCCTGTTTCGTATGATTAAATTCATCATCTGAAAAGATAAAGAATATGAAACATATTGCTTTGAAACAAATTATGCCTATCTGTTGGGTTTAAACGGAAAATAATTGATCAACCTAGCTTACGTATCAGCTTTAGACAATCACTGAAGATGGTCAGACGTTAGGAGTAGACATCGTGTGTAGTTTGTTACTGAGAAGTGTGTACTACTATCCGATTGAGGTCTTTGTGGATAAACATACGCAACAGGAGTCAGTAGTAGTTAACATTTTACACTTTACACTGTACGGTTATGATTGCAATTTGGGAAGGATTCTCACTTATACTCAGCTTAATACCCCATAAATGTGGAGTGTTAAGAGATTTTAAAAATGGCCATCTCACCAATTTTATTCAGTCAAAAGTACCAGCAAATGAAAGCAAACTGAAGGTCATCTGTTTTGCTATAATATATCTCGAACTGAAGAAGCTAAACTGAACCATGAGTAGTTCAACCCCACACTGTTCTTTAAAAAAGCCCAATCTCATGTTCTTGTTTTGCTTAAGTTATGATATTCTGATTACTGTTATTTATCCCGCTACCTGTTAGAAATCAGTAGAATCTCCTTAACCAGCTTAGTACTAACGTCCTATGACTACGGCACTAAATGACTTGAATTCAAATCTCAAAGGAGACTTCTGTTGCTTCGAGATTGAAGGTACACCTTGATGATGAGTGGCAATAAGCATGGAACTGAGGTCAAACAGGTATTATTATCGATTGCATCCAACTAACTAATATGTATCAACGAACACCACAACGGCAAATCTCCAAGTTTGATGTTCACATCGGAGAATGATCGACAGAAGTTTGTTGGGATTCAGGACTAGACAATATGAAAATGGTTTCTTTCCAGTGACCAATCAATGTATCTTCCTAACAACTTTGAAAAACATGTGCAAATTACCTGAAGACAAAGGGAATATTTGGTTAGCTTTTTGTTTGAAGAAATTTCACTTGAAGGTCCTACTTTTTGAACACTTAACGACAATCATAGAACAATGATACTTACTTTAGTATTGCAAAACATTATTCAAATAAAATATCCCTAGTCTGTAAAGGATAGATGAGACTCCTGATGTCAGTTTACTCAAGGAGAGGATCTCTGAACGTTTAGTGACTTAAGAGACACTATCATTTTGATTAGCTGAGGTAGCCGTGGTTTGGCAGACTGGTATTGATACTGGGTAATAATTGATAGTGAAATGGAAATTCGAGTCTTGGTACGACTCCATTGAGTGACCAAAGGGTTTCCCACTTGGTGTCCTACCAACTGAGCTACGAGAACCTATTGGTGATCAGATTTTTAGTTCACTTCTGTCACTAAGGGTTTTACTGTACTGCCATGTAAATTTGTGTCACGTTTCTACCGCTTGGTCGAACTCATACTCAATACTAGTCTGACAAATTACAGCTATCCCAGAAAGTCAAATCATAATCAATATGATGCTCCCCCTCTCTTATTTAGGTAGATTTGAAGTAGGATGAGAAGTTCTGACTGGATAGCCAATGTGAGTACGATCAGGTTGTAGTAACTCGTCATGAATTCACATGGTAGTCAGGCAAAACCCATGGTGATTGAAATGAAACGAAAATGTGATTAGCAGTCAGGTGTCATAGCTGAATTGATAGAGCACAAAGCCAGAAACCTGTTTGTCGCTGGTACGAATCCTGCCATGGCCAAAATTTCCATTTCACTTTCAGTCATCATTTGGTATAAAGGATATTGTATTCAATGAGAACCAAAGATTAGTTGGAACTTCAACATTGGATAGTAAGCAAATTTTCGTATATGAATGGAATTATTCTACAGAGTATAGGGTTAATTAAAAATAATTTGAAATACAGTCGTTTTAATGATTATACCAAGAATTTATGAGACAGGAAGATTTGCTTTTGAACATCTGGCCTCGTAAATAATATATGTATTTCGTAACAGAATGTTTACCTTTACGAATAATTACTTAGGTAACTAATATTGATTTCTTTTGGTAATTGAAAAAACTTATCGAAAGAAATTCCAACATCCTGTTTATTTGATTATATATTTATTTGGTTAACATTATCAATTTGTGTTATAAAATGATAATACAATAATCTAGGGTCAGATTTACAAAAATAGGATTACCGTTAATTAGCTGTTTATGAAGATTCATATCTTGAGACTTTTGCCCTTTATCACAAGAGATATATATTTGATATGTAGGTTTGTTTTACTAGGTTAAAAGCATCATGACGACTTAATAAGAAATTATAATTCAGAAGAAATAGTGGATAAATTTTAAATTAACTTGTAATTTGGAGGTTTGTAGAGATTTATTTATCGATTTCACACTGATATTATTCATGGACTGATATCAGTTGGGGAAACATTGGAAAACTGGGATTACTGAACAACTGTCTCGTCCTAGTAAGGGACCCAACTGTGCTCATCCACTACACCTCCAATGGTAGAACCCAGGACCTGGAGATTTCGTTACCAGCATATTAACATTGATCCAAAGGGTCAGAATCTAGTTGCCCATATTTTCTACTTTGTCAGCTAACAGTCTAGCAAAACCTCTATCCAGTGCCATTGTTGAGTATCTGTCCTCTAATCTGTATTGGTTGAATCCTGACGGGGTTGTGGTGGGTGCTGAAGAGTCTCGTCCTATGACGAAACTGTTGTCCAGTGATCCCATTTTTCCAATGTTCCTTCATGTGATGTCAAAACATGATGAATACTAACTCGCAGCTGTCCAGCTGCAAGTATTTTGTTCAGATTCAAAGTGTTTCACTAAATTACCTAGTTTTCTACATAAGTTATACAACACAAACGCTTATGAGCAAGAATTGATTAGTCATCCATGAAAATCGGTCCATTTTTCATCCTATTTTTATTTGTTTTCGTTCTTAAATGTATGTTTTCAAATGTATCAGTGTGACGGAAAGATTTATAAAGCTTTATCTCCTAGAATAGGTCACTTCAAACGTCTTCTTACTTCTGCTGGAGCAATGGCGTCAGATAAAGGGACATTTAACGCAAAGTATTAAGTAAAAAAGGTAAGTCATTTTATGAGGTTGTTAGTCCTCATCTACTGAGGTGACTGAGGCACGTGCAACGTTTGCTTCGTCATTCTCTACAAAATGTTAACTAGGTTATAATTAGAGTGAAAATAGACGACAGTGGTCAAAAGTAATACCACCTAATCTTAACTATCCAAATGAAGTAGTTAACAATGTAAAATGTGTATTATTATTATTTGTCCCTTGTGGAACATAGGGCTTCATTAGCACGTCTCCATTCCACTCTTTTCTCTTCAAATTTTTGAACCTGCCTCCACGACTCCCCACAAGCTCTCATTTCTTCCTCACACCATCTCCTCTATGTCACCCTCACCTCTCAAGCCCAACTCGTCGTTTCATATTTGGATTCCACTCGACGACGTGGCCTTGCGCGTGATGTCCCAGTCGGTCTTCTCAGTGTATACCCAATTCATCTCCACTTCCTTCTGCATATTTGTTCAGCGATAGGTTCTTGCTTACTTTGTTACCAGCCAGCCAGAGCTGCTTGTTGCCTATTCTTTCTGGCCCTCTGAGCTTCAGTAAAGAGTGAGCATAGGCAGTTGTTGATGAATATCTATAGTTTGTTGGATCTGCTTTTTGTAACGCGTTTCTGAACCGACACATGGATGCCTTGACTTGACATTGGTGTTGAAAATCAGGGTCTTGTTCTTTATGCTGAGTGCAGAATAGTCAACAGTTAACAACTAATGTCGACCTTCTCTCATAGTTTATATGTTATATGAAAGCTTGAATCATTGCACATTTACATGGGATTGAAGGGTGATCAGTGAATCTGTATGCATTTCTGCTATCGCTAATCAGGTTTGGCTGAACATCTAATTTGAAGAACACACTAGTCGAAAATACCTATCATGATAAATTCATAAAAAACATATAATTACAAAAATGACAAGAAACAATGTTTCAACAACAAGCTGATAACCACCATACATTCGGGTATGACTAAGAGATGACGTAGTCAGAGAGATAATAATTCAAAAAATAAGCAGATCGTAAGCATCCTGTCCCAGATAATCTAATTCTACGCTGTAGATACCACTTCTTCCCTATGATATGAAATAGTTTTGACGAATTCTCTTAACCTGTTTCGTTCTTCTTAGCTTGTTTCATCCAACTTTCATAAAAACCTTCCTAGTGTTTTATTAAATTATCAGGTATTATATATTATATTATGTATTATTATTATATTATATTAAATTATATAAGCCATAGAGACATTAAGATAGTCAATTATTTTGAAGTGAATCCTAATAACAATTGATCAAAAACGTTCATATAAGACTTTTCTCAGTAGACTTCCTCAACTGTATAACAAACTGATAAGAGAATTTCTTTATTTCTGACGCGTAATTTCTCAATGGATACATGTAACTGTAGAACCTGAAGAAGTAGGACTTATCGAGAAGAATATTTTCTTATTCACTAAAATGGGAATTTTTAATGATTTATAAGTCTCTCATAAACTTTAGCTTTACGACCAATAGTATGTAGGTATATGTAACGTCTTCTGAACAAATTACCTCAACTCAGGATTCCTTATTCACGTGACTATCACATGACCTTAAATTTTTATCTGAAATAGTTGGAAGACTCATGTCATGCACTTCCTTTCTTCAGAGCATATTAACAAACATTTCAAAAAGTTTATGAAATTTAACCTCGAAAATAATTCAGCTATTGATTATTGTGCAGTCACTTCCTTTGGTTTTTTCTATAGAGTAATCAATTTACAAGTGCAATATAACTTTGAATAAATGAATCTCACTTTATTTCCCATGTAAAACACTTTTTGCCGAATCGGTATTGAACATTGAATGATTATTTTATTTGTTGTACTTCAATGAATTTAATTTCAGGAAAGCAATATTTTTGTTAAGGATAATTTAGCGTTCATCTGATTACAAACTTAAAGTTCTAGCTGAACT